ATATCCAGAAGAGATGTGATTGATGAGCACACTCGTCCATTGGCAAAGCGACTGTTCACAAATCCTGGAGATGATAAGGCAATTCTAATACTTGATGGTACATATATTTATGTCCAAAAGTCAGCAAATAACATCGTACAAAGACGAACGTTTTCCGTTCATAAAGGTCGGTCTTTGGTAAAGCCAATGATGATTGTATCCACTGATGGATATATTATCTCGGCTATTGGGCCGTACATGGCTGATTATAAAAATAATGACGCCTCGATGACAAAATATATCATGTTGAGCAATCGAGAGGGTGTCACGGATTGGCTCGAACCATATGATGTTCTAATTGTTGATAGAGGTTTCCGGGATTGTCTGCCACTTTTAAGTCGTTTAGGATATGAAACGTGCATGCCTGCCTTCTTGAAAAAAGCTGATAAACAACTAACTACAACTGCAGCAAACCTAACGCGATTTGTGACAAAGATACGTTGGGTAGTTGAGTCAGCAAACGGCAGAATTAAAACATGGCGTTTTTTTGATCATGTTGTACCTAACTCTATGCTACCAATTGTAGGTGATCTATTTTCAATTGCTTGTGCCTTAATCAATGCATATAGACCTCTCTTAGTTCGAGATGTAGCAAACGACAATAAACTGGCAGATATTATGTTAAACCTGATGAATGAAAGCAACAAATTAAAAGATTACATTAATAGTTTGAACAACGAAAGGAAGTCAAACTTGAAATGGACACAAATTGATGCTAATAATGCTGTATCCGACTTTCCTATTTTAAGTCTTGCGCAGCTTAATGAGATCACTTTAGGGTGGTTTCAACTAAAACAGGCAAAAAGATATACGATGGAGCATCTATCGAAGGATGGATCGTTTACTGTTCAGATTGCTAAACAGAGAACAGATATTCTTAGAGGGTGTGGGTGTGGGTGTAGTTCTTCTTTTCACCCACACACACACCCGCACTTCCATACCCACACCCACACCCATCCTTTCGGTTTTTCTTACTTTACTTGCGTCTGTTATTTTATAGGCTCGTATTACAGCTTTTTGTTTCATTGGCAAGATGTGGGTAATGAGCTTTAATAGCTGTCTGAATTTCTACCGACGATAAAATCCCGTTCCCATTGTCAAATAAATCAAATAACTAAAATTGAAGGCAAAGTATTAATAAAAATACAACGTAAGTTGCAGAGCAAATGCATAAATCACTTACTTGTCTGAGTTCAACTTCATTTATCTTATTTGATATCTTGGTGATCTTACGCCTAAACTTCCTCTAGAAATGAAAAAAGGTACTGCATATCAATACGACAGAATTTTTGTTGTAGCCAACTTGCGAAGCTACTCAAAAAATAATTTTTATTCACACAAGACAGTATTTCAATATTCGTAATTTTCAACGAATCTAAAAAGAAGACCCTTTTCAAAATGAACGAAAAAAAGCATCCAAGGAACTTAGGAACACTTCAACTCCTGCGCATCGTCAGGGTGTGAATGATGTGCTTTTTCAGTCTAAACTGCTTGTGACAAATGTTTTAGTCTTACACCAGGGTCATGGTCAAGTACGGTGTGTCCCAAAAGTCCTGCGAAATAAAAAAGAATTTAGTATCTCCACCGCTCTTTCATCAAATGAGCACATTTTTTCCCTGCTGATGGAGGATACTTTGAAGTTTCCTTTTTCATAAGAAAACCGTTAATAGATACTGCTTTAAACTATTACTTTTGATTCAATATCAAAATGTCCCCATTTTCAGTTTCTAAAGAAGCACTTTCGAAGGCAAGTTCCAGAGGTAATTCATTTTGATTTGAAGAATTGACCAAAGTGAGCGCTCACTCCGACTAGCTTCAATACAAAATTACAGAGGTTTTGGATGTAATTTTTACGAGCTATGAATTTTTCAAAATTGAGGCGCTTTTCCATTGATATTGAGGAAAATTTGAAATATTTATCTCTCGAAAAGACTACATCCAAAAATTCTGCATTTTTTTTACAGAAGCTAGTATGAGTGAGATTTCACTCTGGCCAAAGTTTCACGTCAAAATTCGAAAATATTATTTTCTTCTAAAAAGTGCAGCCATCGACGAGAAAATCCACGAAAAGTTTCATATCCTAGCCAAAACTACATAAGAACACGAGTCTTTTGGAGGTCGTTATACTCCAGTAGATCTGCAGTAATGGGAAAACTATGGTTTCAAAAACTTCTAATCATTATATGGGCTCAAAAGCTTATCATCATCTCGGGGTCTCGCATTTTTTGAAAAATCGAAAATGTATGCATTTCGATATTGAAGTCAAAGTGGCAGGTCAAAGGAGTATCTATTAAGGGTTTTCTTCTTTAAAAAAGACTTCAAACTATCCTCCATCAGCAGGAAAAAGATGAACTCATTTGATGAAAGAGCCGTGAAGATATTAAATTTTTATATCCCGCTGGACTTTTGAGACACCCGGTACATTTTGAGTTTTCCAGTACGGCTCAACGGATTTCCTTAGAGAACGTCTAGGAAAGCCCGAAGACCTCGAAGAAATCTCCCAGTTGTTGCAGCGCTATTTAAATCGATTTAAATCAGATTTATAAAAGAAAAACATTACATGCAGGAGTTTCCGATGGGTATATTGAATATTTGAATATTCAGCAACATCTCTGTTCTATTCTCTCAAAAATTCTCCCAGTGACGGCGAAATTACCACACACGATCCAGTCAAGAGCTTTTGGAAGGTCTACGTAGTTCATGATTTCCCCATTGACTTTGACCTGTTGCGTAGGTACTGAATGCAAGGAATCATTGTAATTATTACCAAGAATATCGGCAATCAGCGACCTAAAAACGAACCGAATTTTTCCAACCACCAACTATTCATCAGTTTATATAGTTGTTCTCTAGTGTAATTCCAATCATTAATATATTCAATTGTGTCATTTGCACTTTTTCTGCGAAAATGGAAGCACTCGTGCAAATATCGTTCGCACAAGGCTATCAATTTTCCTCTAAAAAAGTAAGAAAAAAGTGTTTACATCAATATTTTTCTTAGTGATCGTGGTTTGTGTAATCAAAAGCACACTGACCTTGAAAAGGAGGCAAGTGTTTACCTTTCCCACTTAAGGTGAATTACAATGATTGGTTTAACTGAAGGTTGCTCAATCTCCAGTTCGTCTCATCACATTATTTTTCAAAACATGTGTCCTCTGGTCTTCTGACATGAATTCAGAAAATCAGAGAAGTTGTTCCACGAGAAGTTCTAACTTTATTTCATCATTCACCACGTGGCCATGCTCGTAGTAGGCGATAACATCGAAAACAATCGAGTTGATCATGTGTTTTCGAAAAATCGAAAAAACGTATTTTGCGGTTTTCGTATCTAACGATAAGGATTCGACCCCAACTTTCCTAGCAGAAAGTGATCAGCTCGCCGAGCTTTACAAACCCTGAAAGTTTCAAGCGAATTGGAAATGGGTGCGGGTGTCGGTGAGCATGCATTTCTACCCACACCCACACCCTTCAATTAATTATTTGATCAGGTAAACCATATTGACGAACAAAATTTCCATCAATAACAGATTTCCATATTAATTGATCTACCTTCCATATATATCTACTGTATAAATGATATTTGCAGTTTTGTAATATGATTTAAATTATTAAGAAGCCATTTTAAATAAGTAAATTCAAAATCAGTATAAACAAAACTTTTCAATCTTGGTACCTATTTTACGAATAATCAATTACAATTTTAAAACTTCAACTGTATTCGACAAGCAAAATAAAAAGCCAATTATTCAAAAATAATCTATTTATATTACTTTATTCTCTTCTTTTATTTAATACCTAATCTATTAAATAAATGAACAAAATATTCTTCTTTACTCTAGTCCAACAATTGTGAATAATTATTCCAATTATATATCTCTAATATCAAACTAAATCATCGAAATGCATCACTTTATGCAATGCTTTTTTCTTAGAGATCACTTCAAAAGATTGATTTTATTAATTTTACATTCGATTTATCCTTACTTATATCAAAATTAACTATCTGATTAACCAGTGGTGTTGACATGCAATAGTTCTCTTTTATTTTTATTTTGTTTTAATTTGTTTTAATCGTCAGTTTAGTGGAAATAGAAATTCACGAAGAAAGAATTCGAGTTTCTTATCATTGACAAAAAGTAGATTTTCATTATCGAAAGATGATTCTAATGACAAATTTGTCAATGCAGATCTTAAAAAAGTCAAATATCGAACACAAATGTCTCCTTCATCTTTATTAAAACTCTAATACAAAAAACTATTTCTAATAGACGATAGTACAACGAAGGAAAATCGTCATCTCATATTTACTTCATCGATGCCATAAATATTTCTTATTGAACTTCATAGATCCTTTAACAGTACTAGAAACTTTATATGAACTAGATGAAAGAGTACTTTATTGTTGCCTTTCGACAGATGAAAATCTATCGGGATCGATTAGAATCTAAATAAACTAATTAACAAGTTGGAAAATCTGACCCAAGGATTTCTTCTCATACTGTCTTCTAATTAAGTACGTACGAGTGGTAGAAAAGTTACCAGTGATTGATTTTTTTCTCCTACAAGAAACCCGAATATTGAATAGTCTTCTATTAAAAATTGTTTGGTTTTATGGGCTCAAATTTAAATAATAAATACATAAGGATCAGTCCATACATAACTCTAATAAATTCTACCGGATCTCATTACATTCAGATCTATCCATTCCAGGATCTATCGAAATCTGAGAGAATCCAAAAGCATTCATTTCAATCCACTATGAGCTTCGAACTCTCAATTCGCTTATTTCTCTCTAAATGTTGATAATAAAAACGTGCTAGCAAAATATATCATTTATTAACTAAAATTACATCATCTTCTTTACTTGACTGTCTGTTTATCAGATGATTCGACATTTTTCTTTATCTTTTTTTTGTTTATCAATACAATGAAATATTAGCCAGTGAATTTTATCGTCTTTTGACGATNATCCCTGTATTCATTACTAAATATTTCATAGATATCTTCATGAAATGTTAATGTAAGTTTATTTAATTGATATTGAATAAGAAAAGATAATGTTTGAATTAATGATTGAGATAATAAACATCGAGTTATATAAAGTGATTTTAGATTAGGAAAACGATGAATTGATTTATCATTATGAGAAAAAATATCTTGATAAATTAAATTAAAATAAATTGAATTTATTCCATCAATATGAATATATTTAATAGAAGAACAAAGAGATAATGAATTAAATATTAATGGTAATAATATTTTAGAAAATTTTTTATAAGATAAACCTGGTTTATTGAAAATAATTCCATTTTTATTTATTTCAAATATTGAACAAATAAGATTATTAATACGTTTATTTAATGACCAGAATGATATTAAGACTTCATCCCATGAAAAATATGAAAATAAATTTAAAAATAATTCATTTGGTAATATTTCTAATTTATTTCTCATTTTATCTAAAAATAAACTTATCTTTTATTTTATTTTATTCAATGAGAAATCATTGTTTGTTTATTTTGTTTCTCTTTATATTTTTTTTGAACGTAAAAGAAAAACCAAATAAATAGTTCTTGTCATATTTATCTATTTTTTAAACCTTTTACGGTGCCCTCTTATATTCATCGTGTCAATCAAAGAACCAAACACAACGAATGAAATTTTAGCAAACCTCTTCTATACTTTTCTCTTACAAGAAAGATTTGACGATAGATGTGTTAGTTAACATGGCATTTGTTCTTTATTCGTATTTAACAACTAATATCAACAATCACACAGACGAGGAAAAGTTTCAAAGTACGAGTCTCCATGTTCAACCGGATATATTACAATTTGTAGATTTCAATAAACTGATCATGATGACATAAAGCGTTCTTCCTCATAGACTGTCTTTGAGGACTTTGGTCAATCTCAATTTGCAAAGAAAACGTTGTAAACTATTACTTGAGAAACCTCAATTTTTATATTATTTCAGATTTCAATATTCGAAGTTTTAGCATTGGATGCTTCTTAATCGACTGTACACATCAATATAATCCATTCAAATGAAAGCGCTAACCATGTTCTTACTATGAATATTTCAATAATATTGCTCTTGTGAATGTAAGAAATTCAACTGTTTTTTTTTTCAAAATTTATTTAATTTCATGTAAAATACAATTGTATCTTCAGCAACGTAGGACATATTTAAAAAATGCCTGTTGATCCCATTTGAAATATTTGCCTTATGTATTGCATTTTTTCAAATAAATATACGAACAAAAAAAAAACTAAACAAAACGCAGGCTTCTGAAAATGAGATGGCTAATAAGGCTTTAATTACCATGTCTTTGAAATAGTATTTCTAGAGAATCTTAATCAGTTTTGAAAAAAAAACAGTTGAATTTCTTACATTGGCAAGGTCAATGATATTGAAATATTCATAGTATGGACCAGAGGTGGTAGTTATCGATGGTTATCCGTTTATCCGTACTAATATTACTTTCTTGGGCAATTCTACGTTTTTTTTTTAATTACTTCCAGATTTCTAACGTTTTCAAAACAAGGTGAATTATAGATGTAGTTCAAATATCTGCATTACTCGAAGCTCCTCTCAATTCGAAAAAAATAAAACTTTTATTCCATTCAGAAAAAAATATAGTTGTCAAAAACGAATTACTAACCGTATTCTCATCTTAATGCAACGCATTTGGATTTTCAGCTAAATTAGATAAAAATAATAAGTATCAACGTATTTTAGGATACGTTAGCTATTTCAAGTGCTTTCAAACATTTATTAAATTATTGAACAACACTCATTGATCAGTTATCTTTTCTGTTGCTCTTGATGTTATCACCATATGAGCACTATGATGACTATTAAGAAACGTTTATGCATCTTGCTTTACCATGTAATTTTACGCGCTGAACATTTTGTTGAAAGCTAATGAATTTGTCGTGTTTATTTGGTATTTATTCAGTTAAACATTACTCAAGAATAGAATTGTGATGTTTACAATATTATGAAATAAATTGACTACAAGATGATTGAGATATTTAATATATGCTTCATTCAATAGAAAATTAAAGATGTTATGTTCGTCCTGCTTAAAATTCTGTCCTGCCGCTCGGCAGGACGGAGATCGATCGCAGAACAGGTGGGGAAAAGTTGTCCTGTTCCCACCTCTGGTATGGACAAAGTTAGCACTTCCATTTAAGTCGATTAAAGCGCATCCAACACTAAAGCTTTGAATATAAAGAACTAAAATAACATTAAAGTTGAAGGATCTAAAATAATAGCTTACAATGATTTCTTTGCAAATTGAGATCGACCAAACTTCTCAAAGACAATATTCTGAGGAAGAACACTTTATGCCATCGCGATCGCTTCATCGAACTCTATAAACTATAATGTATCCGGCTGAAAATAGAGACGCACATTTAGGGACCTTCCTTCATGAGACCAGCCACATGAATAAAATTTCAATTCGACGATTTTTTTCTTTGTGTTACAAAATAAGATAGAAGAGACATATTTGTCCGTTTTATATATCTACTTTGAGTCAGATAACAATTCGAAGACATTGATAAAAAAGAACAATCGAAAGGCAAAAAGAGTTTTTTGAATATCTATTCGAGTGGCACTTTATTACTTTAAAGGGTCCTTCTCAGAAACCAACTTTGTTATTTTTTCATCAAGATTTCAACCAAAATTTCAGATAATGTTAGTCGTGGGTAGAATAAATTATGGTTAAAATATCTCTCCCAAATCTCAAAGATATGCACAAGTATTAGTTAATTCATTGAAAAATACTCTTTACACGGGCAAGATTTTCAACATGAGGATACTAGCTAAGCATGTCGGCATGGTTTTTAAATTGTAGAGTTCCCTTAGGACTAGATCCTCCTAGGGCTCGATTTTTGAATTTCCCTTTGTTTGTTTTTTGAAAAACCTTTGTCGAAAAATTCACGAATTCATGCCCAAAACAAATTGCAAATAAAAATGAAATATCTCAGTTTTTTATTTTAGCAAAATAGAAGTTCAAAAATCGGACCCTAGGACGATCTAGCCCTAACTGTCTACTCTACAATAAAAAAAAATTATCACTTCTCTATTGAGTCGTTATTAAAAAACCTTGCCCACGTAAACGGTATGCTCGAAAAAAATTGATTTTGAGAAAAACGCTAAACAAGTTTTAGAAATCGATTTTTTTCCATTTAAATTTTTTAGATTTTTGCGAAACATACGTCAATTATATATATGTCGGTGTTCAGGATAGATTAGAAATACGTAATCTTTATCTTAAATTTTAGGAGACTCGTAATGATTAATAGAAAAACGCTTCGGTCAATGTTGATGCCTCTGAAACGACAGTCTTTTTTTTAAACTGAAAAATTTGAAAAAATATGAGTAGGACCCAAGTTTTAGCCGATTAGCCCGTCAAAATCTGGTCATTTTGTGAAAAGCTATATATATTCTGAAAGAGGAGACTTCGATGTATCTTCCTATAATAAAAAGTCAACTTCGAGTTTTCTTTGAAAAAATAGGTTTGCTGAGAAGGGCTCCCCTCTTAAGACAAAATTGTTAAAAGGAAAGCGACTATGCCCAATTCTCCCTAAATACATGAGAGGAATAAATGATAACAAAAGTAAAAAAAAAAATTTTCTGTAAGAAAACTACATCATTATTACTATTTAAGAAAATAAAAAGCATGAAAATTACTTATCACTGAATAATACTTGACTGAAATATTAAAATGAAAATAATTCCGTTTTGATTATAACAAAGCAAGTTTTGCTTTTTAAAAGTATCTTGTGAACATTATAAAAATAAAATAAGAAAAACAATTTTCCAATAAAAAACATTTAAATGAATAATAAAGTTTTTTTTTTGCTGAAAAACCTTTTTTATACAAAGACAGAAGAAGCAATCAAATGATTTTTGTCTCTCTTACATTATTATATTAAAAAAAAGAATGAACATAAATTCTATCAAAGAATGTTAAATGTTTAAATGTCCGCATATTTTATGGTTTACCCTGCTATGCACGCAAAGAATATACCTCCTCTTATTCTTTTTCTCTCAAAACGAGCAAATTCGACGAGAAAGTTCATATTCAATGAAAATGACGGATTGTTCACCGACCTTTTTTTTCGTTCATCCATATGTTATTGTTTATTCAATTTTTAACGTCAAGGAAATAGAAGAAGAAAGGGAATATACAAATAATTGAGAAAGTGTAATAAAAGAAACAACTATCTATAGTTTTCTGTATTAGGAGAATTTTATTGGAATTTCTAGTAACGTTGTGTAAATTGTATTGATACATTCAACATGTTAAAATTTTTATTTTTTATACTATTACAAAATATTTTTCTAAAAATAAATTTTCTTTCAAAATTCTTTCCATAAATAAAGTTTGATGAATGACATACGAGAAGTTTCTATTGGGAAAGTTCGCAAGTTGTGTGAACATAATAAGAACGGATATAGTAGCGGCATTCGATACCGATCTTGTTGTCGTTTTCAAGCATAATCAACTGCTGAATACAATCATCATATTCTTGATTTCATGATTTTACAATATTCATAGAACTTATCGAGTGAAACCAATGGCTTTTTGATCAGTATTAAATGAAAAAATCATTAGTATGGAAAATATCTTTTATTGATAAACGATTGATTGCAGTTCAAAATCTTATCAATAGAAATATTAACTGTGATTTTATTTCAATTCAGTGTTTTATTTTCTGCCAACTTTGTTCTGTCGCTTGCATATAAAATTAATAAATTGTATTTTGTATGAATGGATCATTATTGCGAATAGATCAAGGCATAGAGAAGATTCATCGTGAACTTGGTTGATATGGAAATCTTTCACATTGTCATCTTTTTTATAAATAGAAAAAGAAACTTTTTCTTCGAGAAATTTTTGTTAATTCCTAGATATTTTAGTTTTCATAGTATTAAAATATCTAATATAATTAAATAGAAATTCGATGAGATTATAAACAGTTACAAAATTTTTCTTTGAAAAAAGTTTGCTGTTTCTGATAATTTTCGTATTAAAAAATGAGATAGAAATTCGTTATTTAACCAAAAAGTCTTACAGGTTTCAGTATGAATGAAAGAAAATGAAAATCATTTTCATCTCGAGATCAGTTATAGATGTCTAGGAAAGGTTTTTGTTATACCTGTAGTCTACCTTATTATATGCTTGTCTCAGCCTTACCGTAGTTTTTCGTAAAGAACAGGATTACCTAGAACATCCGTAGCATCAATATTTGATAATCAAGAAAAAAGACCTTGTATCAATTCTATCTTTATAGCAAAGCATGCAAATAAACAGATTGAATTAGTAAAAATATTGAAGCACTATTCTTTTCATTTTCCTTAATATAATATATTGATTATATATCATGTTAACACTCGAAAGTAAATACCTTTTTGTTTGTTCAAATAAACTTTTATCAAACAAAAAAATAAATTCAATGAAATTAATTTTTAATTGAATTGATGAAAATGAATAAGTTCTCTTAGTATATTTCGAATAATATCTTTTTTAATAAATATCATATATTTAATGTTCTTTTATAAATAAAATCTATATGCATTGTGATATTATTCGATAGAATAAAAAGATTAGAAAATTTATTCTTCGAAAATATATCAAATAAATCTTCCTTATTGAGATAGAATTATTTCAATTCTTCTTCAATTAACTCAATATAAACACTATTCATTTAATTAATATAAACAGATATGGATTTCTGTTAACTCTATTTTATTCAGCAAAATTAATTTCTTAATATAATTATCATAAATCGATTTGTTTTTATTACAGATAAATATTCAAAATTTATTTTAATTTGACTATGAAAAAAAATTTTGTCAAATATTTTAAAAGATGACTATTTTAACGTTTCATAGGTAACTAATTCAAGTTTCTTTTCAAATAAATCATATTAAAAATCTCTATATTCATAACAACATGAGGATTAATCACGTTTATATTAACTATTGTCCATTTCAAAATAGAATAGACTCGGTTGTTTTTTTAAATAACTCGGCAATTAGTGATAGCTATTGAATTGAGGTTTTCACCGTCAGGAAGAGGCTAGGTGGGAGTACCTATATAGCTGAGAAGCAAAGTACTTCAATAGCTTTATAGGAGTTGTTCAAGGACATTTTTATATATCACTGACTAACGCTCTTCTGATTAAATATATTTCTAATTTAAATTTAGCCAAATTGTAGTTCAACATCTGCTCTATAAATGCTAAAATTTTCACACATTTTTTACCTTTTCCTGAGATACAGAAGAAAACTTCCTGAAATCTACTAATAGTAAATTTTCAGAGATTTTTAGGGTTGTGGGTGTCTAGGGGTGCTAGTCTTCTCTTTATCAACATCTGCACTCTCATCCCCCCCCCCCCCCCCCCCCCGACCCACCCCCCCCCCCCCCACAAAAAAAACCACAGACTGATGAAAGATAGAGAGGGATAAGAGCGGCAAGATGCAAGAAG